AATGCTTATTTCTGTGCAGTTTGGCTCCTGAAATTTGTTCTCTTTTTTTTTCTGAATGCTTCATTTGGTCTCTTCTATGCCTGGGAGCGTAGAGGAGGCTGGAAACCTTATAACCTTTGAAAAATATTTGGATGAGTGCTTCAAATATCATAACATTCAAGGATATGCGACAAGTGCAGGAAATTGGGATAAGCGCACTTTTAGTGGTTGTCATGTTGGTGCAGACGCAGTGGGCTGAACGGCCTTTTCTGCGCTGTTTGAATCTATGAAACTATGAAACATCACCTCAGCATGTGTCCCATTAAGAATCCTGTGCTTCAATAACATTATCTCTCCTTCTTCGAAAGTCCAATAAGTATAGACTCAACCTGCTCAACATTTCTTCCTAAGGCAAGGCTTTCATCCCAGAAATCAGTGAATCTTTTTCTGAACTGCTTCCAATGCCAATTTTTTGTCCACTCATCCAACCTATCTGAGCCCCACCACTGCTCCCTGTCGCACCCACTAATTATAATTATCAAACTGAAAATGATCCATTTATTCTGACCCTCTGTTTTCTGTTTTATAGCCAATCCTCTACCAAACTAATATACCGCCTCCTATTACCTTCTGTTGTTGTCTTTTAATGTCGCACCTTATCAATTCTTTTTATTTTGAAATTTGTACATAACAACTTTATGCTCTCAAAGTCCTCTAATAAATTTGTCAAACACAATTTCCTATTATCTCTGAAGAGACATGTAGTGTTGCAACCCATTGCTGCATCTAGTGCAGAAAGTCTCTTTTTTTAACCACAATTTATTGGGTAAAGTCTCCCTGTTCATTTCACTCAAAGAGCAGTATTTTATATCTTTGCTTAAGAGTGCAGGATTGCCCCTCCTCCAAAATTCCTTTTCATGTTTCGCACATCTCGGTAGCCGGACTTTCCACAATTTCCTCTGAAAGTCAGAAAGTCACTGTGCTTAATGAATGCTCAATGTGTGCCATTTGATTCAGCTGGGCAAAGGAACTGAAAATTATCAGCCATGCATCTGTTTTTATTGGGAGAGAAAAAGAGTGCTTCATCCAACAGAGCACATGAAAAGACAAATTGGGGAAAGGAGTAGGCCATTCAGATCCTTGAATCTTTTCTACATTCAAAATGTTCACGGCTGATCTTTCTCCACATTACCCTGACAACCTTTCACTGCTTTGCTTGTTAAGCATCTATCTACCTTTTAAAACATTCAAAGACTCTGCTTCCACTGTCTTCTCAGGAAGAGTTTCAAAGACTCATGACTCTTGGTGAGAAAAAGATTCTCTTTCGTCCCTGTCCTAAATGGATGACCTGTGATTTTTTAAATCATGATTTAGAGTCACGGAAATATACAGCACAGAAACAGATCCTTCGGTCCAACTCATCCATGCCATCTTAAATTAATCTAGCTCCATTTGCCAGCACTTGGCCCACATCACTCTAAACCCTTCCTATTCATTTACCCATCCAGACACCTTTTAAATGTTGTAATTGCACCAGCCTCAACCATTTCCTCTGGCAGATCATTCCATACAAGCACCACTCCTCTGTGTGAATAAAGAATGCCCCTTAGGTCCCTTTTAAGTCTTTCCCCTCTCACCTTAACCCAGTGTCCTCTAGTTTTGGGCTCCCCTATCCTGGGAAAAAGACCATTGCTATCAACCCTGTCCATGATTTCATAAACCTCTATAAGGTCACCCCTCAGCTTCCCATTCTCCAGCGACTTCTATATTCTCTCCCACAACAGTAAACATCCTTTCCACATCCACCCTGTCAAGAACCTGTACATTTTAATCAAGTCAACTCTTACTCTTCTAAACTCCAGAGGATACAAGCCTAGCCTGCCCGAACTTTCCTCATCAGATAACCCACCTAATTCAGGCATTAGTCCAGAGATCGTTCTCAGGGCCACTTCCGGAAATAAGGAGCCCAATAACGTACTCAGTACTCCAGATGCAATCTCACTATTGCCCTGAGATAGCAAGAACTGCAGTTTCTGGAGTCAGAGTCATTACAGTGTGGAGCCGGAGGAACACAGCAGGTCAGGCGGCATCAGAGGAGCAGGAGAGTCAACGTTTCAGGTCGGGACCCTTCATCAGTTCACTTTGCAATAATAACATGATTTTAACTTTCTGAATAACTTGCTGGGCCTGCATATGAACCGTTTTCAATTCATACATTAAAACATCCAGATACCCCACCAACTCAGAGCTCCGTAGTCTCTCACCATTTAAATAATATGCTTCATTTTTATTATTTCTGCTAAAACGGATAATTTCACATTTACACTCCATTTGCCAGTTCTTTGTCCACTCATTTAACTTATTCAGAGACTTAAACATAGAAAAATAGGAGCTGGAGAAGGCTATTCATCCTTTTGAGCCTGTTTTACATGTGACAAGATCATGGCTGACCATCCAAATCAGTATCCTGTTCCAGCTTTGACTCCATACCCTTTCATCCCTTTAGCCCAAAGACCTATAACTATTTCCTTCTTGAAAACATTCAATGTTTTAGCATCAACTGCTTTCTGTGACAGCAAATTCCATGGGCTCATCACTCTGTGGGTGAAGAAATTTCTCCTCATCTCAATCCCAATGACCTAACCCAATATTCTTAGACTGTGCCCCCTGCTTCTGGGCCCCCTCTTCATCAGGAATATCTTTGATTACCTAATCTAGACCTGTTAGAATGTTATAGGATTTTTTTTATGAGAGATCTCACACTCATTCTAAACTCCAGTGAATATAGTCCTGACTGATCCAGTCTCTCTTTATACATCAGTCCTGCCATCCCAGGAATCAGTCTGGTAAACCTTTGTTGCACTCCCTCCATCACCAGAACATCCTTCCTCAGATAAGGAGGCCAAAACTGCACACAATACTTCAGGTGTGGTCTCATAAACACCTTGTATAATTGCAGCAAGACATCTTTACTCCTGTACTCCAATCCTCTCGCTGTGAAGGCCAACATACCATTTGCCTTCTTCACCACCTGCTGCACCAGTGGTGTTTACATTCAGTGATTGGTATACAAGGACACTCTGGTCTCATTGCACCTTCACCTTTCCCAATTTGTGGCCATTGGGATGACAATCTGCCTTCCTGCTTTTGCTACAAAAGTGAATAACCTCACATTTATCTACATTGTATTTCAAGTGCTGTGCAGTTGCCCACTCACTCAACCTATCCAAATCACCCTGAAACATCTCTGCATCCTCTTTACACTCATCCTCCCACTCAACTTTCTATAATCTGCAAACTTGGAGACATTACGTTTAGTTCCCTCATCTGAATATTTAATATATATTATGATATATGCATATCTGGCACACAAAAATGTGAACTTGTCTCTGATTTAGAGGTACTCTTGACTGCTGATTTTAAAAGGGCTGTTCACAGTGGCAATGTACTAAAATTAAAATGCTGGGTTAATGCTGCTACAAGTCTAACGTTAGCACTAAATTATTGCTATGCTAACAATACTTTAGGTAGACATGAACTGGGACCAATGCACTGTCATGACTCTTTCACTTCTCTCAGATAAAAAGATGTGGCTAGTTGCCTGTGTTGCTCATGAATACTTACAGCCATCAGTTTATGAAAATGCTGTTGATAGCCTACACAAAGAAGACAGAGGACCCATAATGACGGTTATCAACTGATGTAATTGCTATCGTGATGTGTTGTAGGAAGAAAGTGGATGGATGTTCAGGGAATAAGTAATGAATAATGAATAGATCACATCGAGAAAGTGACTAGCATTACAGAGAAGGAACATAACACATAACACATTAACACTTTAAAAGTATTTTTGCAGAATCACATTGGAGGAAAAATTCCAAGTAAAAAGTTTGGAAAATGAACACCTAGGGAGATAATTGCAATGCTTAAAAGTGTTAAAAATGCTTAAAGTGTTAAAATTAATTTCAATTTACAAATTTATGATATCTTTAATTAGCAAATCTAAAATTTGTTTTAAGGTCAAGATGTCATCAACTGTAACATTAACTCTATTCTTGCTCCACTGATGCTGTCAAATGTGCAATATATTTTCAGCATTTTCTACTTTTGTTTCAGGTTTCCAGCATCCATTATATTTTGCTTTTTGTACTAACTGCTTCGCAGATGTTTTATGAAGGAATTAATATATTCTAATAAAAGAATTTAATATGTTTTCTCACCTCGCTTTTAATAGTCCCCTTTGGGCAAGCCCTTTCAGTCAAATTAAGCTTTGTATTCTCTCTCTCCCTGTAAAAGCACACTATAAAGGCAAAGCTTCTTCAGCCAGCAGGGAGATTGGCTACTATGATGTCACAAAAAAAGTACTGAAAGAACAGACCATCCAGCCCTTCTTAACTAATTTTTCTAGAATTGCACACCTCCACTACAAATCCCAACAATTTCTTAAATCATTCTAGGGTCTCCATTACCTTCTCTGGGAATCCATTCCACATGTTAGACAGACAGTATAGTTATCCATACCAGTCCTGCAAATCTAGAGCATCAAGACATCATGATAAAAGAAGGGATTTTGTTTTGCAATCTGGGAATATGACCTGATGTAACCTAATAAAAAGTGTGGGGAAAATAAAAATAAAATGGGGAATAAAAATGGATACACATCAATTAATAGGAACTTTATTGGGCGTAAAAAATGTTACATTTTCTGGCGTGATTAGGGTACTTTAGTTCCAGTGAAACACGTTCCACTTTCGTGCTTTTGATATTATGCAGTACTAAAAGAGACAGTGATAATGGAATTCTGCATCTGTAATGTGTTAAAGCCAGCACACACATCAAAATGAGATGTGCAAGAAGGGTGTTAATATAAACAGAGATCTTAAAACTGACAAGACCTATGATTCAATTTAGTACGTAATTTTACATATTAATAATTTACCAGAACCAACCTATTCTCTTACAAAGGAATAACCATCATAGAAAAACAAAAGGATTCAAGAATCTACAGATTCAACGCTTACCTAAGACGACGGCGAGAATTGTGCACATGAGCAGCCAGTTCTTCCTCAAACTAGCTGTAAAATGATATCTTTTTGTGGTTTTCTTCCCCATGTTTGTTTGTTGGTTAAAATTCAAAGAAACAGATTAAGAATACATGCATACATGCACACACACTCACACACATAAAACAGTAAAAACAGTGCTGAAGTCAGTGCGAAATGCTGCTGCCTTCTCTTCACTGCACTGTATTCCGTCACTGCAGACAAATCCATACTCGAGCCACTACATGCTCTCAGTTGTAACTAAGTACCACCCCTTCTGAATGCAGTGAGAGCAACCTAACAATGGCTACCATTAAAACATAGAACTATGTTCTTTTTAAAATGGCCTGTACATCATTAAAGCGTGGATTCAGCACCTAGTGAAGATTCTGCTCTGATAGAATCGAGCCATCAATCACAGCCATATAAATTCTCATGTAAATTTCATTATAAATTATAAAATCAAAATGATTTATATTAAATAAAAAGGGTCTTTTTAGATTTCTTTGCTTACAGCAATACATTTGTTAAAAACGGTAAGCAGTTTATAAACCCAACATGACAGTTTTGCAGAATTATCAATATTGGGAAAATCTAATGTAATATTTGTGAAATAAAAGCGAAATTGATCACAAGTCCATTTAAATAAATGCAGTACTGTACAGTGAAGTAGACTGCATTTTTAAGCCAAAATTTGGGAATCTCACTCAAAATTAACTTTAAATCTGGAGTTTGTTTTTGTTCAAATTTATCTTGTTTTGTCCCTCTCCTGCCAAAGGGAAAAGCCACATTAATCCTGGATTACAGTTTATGTGTGAGGATGTGACACATCAAGATCTGACTCATCTAACATCAACAAAAGCTTTCTGAGAGAACTACTGTTTATGAAAATGTTACTTTTTACTAACGTGTCAATATTTCTTAAAATAGCAATGAATTTCATTTCTAAAGCATCTAGACTCATGGAATTTAGCCATCTATCACAGAAGTAAGTATCAGACAGTGATCAACAAAGAGAAGTAACACATTATAGTAGTGGACATCAAACAGATATTTCAGCAGTAAAGAACTTCTTACCAGAAAGCGAAGCATTCTGAATTGCAGGAATGCCTGTCAATGCACTTCTTTGCTTCAGTTGGACATTCGTCAATAGTTCTCACTCTAGAGATGAGATTATAGGGAAGTATTACTGGAAATGTTAATGGTACGTAGCAATAGAATGCATCGCTAATGCACAAAACAACAGACATGCTCAGAGACACAAAAGTGACATTGAACCGGTAGAGGAAGGTAGGTGTGGGTACATGCAAGGCGTTAAATTTCTTTGCGATGATATGGGTTTGGGATCCTGACATCATCCCATGTACTTTTGGGTTTCACCTGGGTTTGCAGCCAAGTAGGGACCTCCCTTGGACATTCTGAGACCTGGTCAATGTTGTCCAATGAATTCAAAGTCTAGAAGAAAGAAAAATGTTTTTTTTTTCTACTCAGCCAGCTCAGACATGTTAGTACACACCTCTGAGGCAGATTGAACATGAAACCAACCCTCCTAGCTCAGAGATAAGAACACTACCACTGCACCACAAGAGACCCTCCCTTGGAGCTGTTGGATAAAATGTTAAAATATTCAAATATGTCCTCATTTACTTTGTAAGCATACTGGCCTTAACAACCAGTATACCTACTTTCTGAACTTGTAGCGACTCACCATGGTTAAGTAAGCAAGTGCATAGAGAGAAGTACTTCTTCAGTGAAACAGAAATAATTGTAAAATTTGTTAAAGTACTATTAAACAGATAGGTGGCAATGGCCTGCTGGTATTCTCGAGAAACTATTTATACAGACACCTAGGAAATGTTGTGCGGATGATGTTGTCTGGAATTAGGATTCTAACGATGACCAGGAATCTGTTGTTGATTGTCAGGAAAATCAATCCGGTTCATTAATGTTGGTTAGGGAAAGAACTCCACTATTCTTAGTTAGTCTGACCTACATGTGACTCCAGACCCACAACCATGTGGTAGGGATGGGCAATGAATGCTGGCCGAGCCAATGATGCCCACATCCTGTGAATGAATTAAGAAAAATGAGGTGAGAATCCCAAGGCAGGTAGTCATCATAATTAAATAGAAAAATTAAATGCTTAATTAAAAGATTGCACTTCATTTTTAAATATGCCTGATATATACCTGATGTACCCTCCTGCATTCTTCATTGATCTAAGATTGGTCCTATGGCTCAATGGGAATTATAGTTGGGGTTATGCCAGACTACAGACTTAGACTGAGTTGAACTCGGCTGCTGTTGATGGCTGAAAGCAGAGCATGGAAGGTCAATTTCAAGATGCTAGATCTGAATCTATCCCATTTAGAATGCTGACTGCGCTAGACGACACGATGGAGGGTATGTTCAGTGTAAAGTTAGGACGTTTGCTTTCACAAGGACTCTGTATGGTCACTCCTACCAAAACTGTCATGGTTATTTTGACAGGTAGACTGATGAAGGTTATATTGTAGTAGTGCTGGTTCTGTCAATGTCTGCTACAGGCCCAACATGGCAGCTTGTCTTTCAGGACTCAGTCAGCTTAATCAGTGCTACTAGACTTGATAATGCACATTTATGACCCCCACTGAGACTAAATTCTCTATCCTTGTCCCCCTTAGTGCATCCTCAATGTGATGTTAATATGGAAGATTCATAATTACCACCCATAACTCTCCCTTAGTTAATTAGTCAGCAGATAGTTTCCTTGCCCTAGTTTGATCTGGTACCATTAAGTTTCATGGATCCCGAATCAATGTTAAGGGCTCCCAAGGCAACTTCCTCCTGGCTCTACATCACAGTGCTACCACCTCTGGTGGGTCTGTCCTGCTGTTCTGTCAGGTCTTACCCAAGAATAGTGGTGGTGGTGGTATCTAGGGCAAAGGCTGTAAGGTGCGGTTCTGTGTGTGTATGACTGTCAGGTTGTTGCTTGATTGGTCTGTAGGCCAGCTCACCCAGTTTTTCAACAAGCCCCAGATGTGAAGAATGGGAAATGGCAATATAAACTAAAAGTGCAGCTCATAAATGGATTGCATGAAAAGAGACCTTGTGGATTTATATGCACAAATTATTGATTAACAAAGATTTTAGGAAAGTATATAGGGAACATGAGCTTTATAAACTTGCTTGTTTTTGTACGCTAGTTATGATGAATGTTTGTAAAACACTGATTGATAGTATAAATTCCAAGCAGAGTAGAATAGCATCACTTCATTGGAGGCTCCACTGATGATGTCACCTAGCATGGTGATAAAATGCCTGAACAAAAAAAAGCTAGCTCAGTGAACAAGTCAATAACCTCACCCACAACCCAAACTACAGATCTTTGCCAAGAACTTTGAATGCCCAGCATTTCACAGGTCAACTTTATTAAATACATTGCGGTGAATGTTCAGCCAATATCACTACTTACTGCTTGTTTTCTTACAGCACATGACATTGATTGACAAATGGTTACATACCGAGTTAAAGGCTACAGAGATAATTTCCATGCTGACTTAGATGGCCTTGTCAGGACTTACTAATATGATTAATGGCAAAATTCTGACAAATGAAAAATTAAAGTCTCTTTTCATGAAGATAAAATTGAAATGTATACATGCTGGAACTTTGGAATCTAACTGATTTCATCTTGCTTAGCCACAAATAAATATGGCAACTTGTGTCACTTCACAACCAACCACAACAATTAATTGTTGCCTTATTTTCTGATATTTGCTGTGCCCAGGTAATTCTGTGCATCTGTGCTTAAACCTAGGAAAATCTTCTCTATATTAACTGTTGTTGCATCATTTTTCCTTTGCGATACTACGCTACGGTGAACAGATAGATCTATCCCTTTGGCCACAGTGTCTCTCTGGAAGTTTTCTGAGGCTGCTAATGTTAAGTCAAATCTTAGAATTGTTGAGTTAAATAATCACATGTGCATAAAAACATGCTGAGACCTTTATTTCCACTTGCATGTAAGTTCCTAGTTTCAATTTTGCATGATGGCTTTATTTTGTCACAATTTTGACAGTACCTCATTCGCAGACTAGATAACAGTTTGTAAGGATTCTTTTGAGGATAGAAAAGTTATGCTAAATTCAAATGGTTTTCTTTTTAAGGAACACCACTTGGAGGTGCAAGCAGCACATAGGCACAAAAACTCATGTTACCACTGAAAAGTTCTCAGTTTACAATGGAGAGTTGGTGTAGACAGCCCTGTGAACAGGTTCCGTTCTGGAGTCTATTGGCAAGTTGATATTTACATGAGTCAGAACACAATGCAGGACAATATAAAATAGCCGTTCATAAGTACTGCAAACATTTGCATGTTGGATCTTTACAATTACACTCCTGTGTGGGATCATTTTCATAGATATGAACATTCCTGAGGTTGAATGTTCCAAAGTCGGGAGCTCCTTGCAATTTAAGATACATTAGAATAAAGAGTAGAATGGTTTGATTTTGTAAGGACCTGAAGCAGTGCAAAGGCTGCCTCAATCAGTCAACAAGTGCTTTGCGATACTCATCCAAGAAAGTTGGAACAATGTTGCCTGTTTATCAACATTGCAGAGGGGAGTAGCATTTCCTCATAATGCAGCTCAGGTCAAGGTAGGGACAAATAAAAAAAATTTCGAAGTTCAGACAATGATGTGACATGGAAAATGCATGGTTGCAACATCTTGATGAATAATTTCATTATATTTCAAATAATAATCCTTATATACAGTATAAAGACCACATCATTTTATTTTACTTTATGTTTGATTGTGGACTGAATTGAGAAAACACACTGTGTTTTAGAACAGGACAGAGGAAAGAATTTCTGTACTTTTAAAAAAGCTCTCCCTTCCTCTCTCTCACGAATTGGTGTAAGCTGTTGCTTTTAATAAATAATAGATAAGACGTTTTAAGCTTTCTGAACCAGTTGAACCCCATCATGTCCATTTCAAAGGATCGTCCTCCGCCACTTGCATCACCTCCAAATACATCTCCCCATCCACTCCACAGTCAGCATTGCCCAGGAACCATTCCTTTTGCGACACCCTGGTTCACATCTGCATCATTTCCAACACTTCCTGACACCCCTACGGCACTTTTCCATGCAACCACAGAAGATGTAACACTTGCCTATTCATCACACCCTTCTCCCTGTTCAAGGTTTCAAACACACCTTCCAGGTGAAGCAACATTTCATGGGTACTTCATTCAATCTACCATCATCATCACTGGTGGCCCTTTGCAGACAAGGATGATTCTCTTCCACCCTCAGGATGAGTCCATTGGTGGCTGTACAGACAGATGTGGCTTCTGCAGTCTCTGTTGCATTTGAGGCAGAAGGTAGTTGTGAGAAGGGCTGGGTGGGGCATTAGTGTGGCAGCATGCTCCTTATGCTGTTTTTGCCCCGGCTTCCACATTTACCCGACAGCAAGTCTCAAGGTGCTCAACACCTTCCCCGATGCTTCTCCTCCACTTTGGACGGTCTTGGGCCAGTGATTCCCAGGTTTCTGTGGGAATGCTGCACTTTGACAGTGAGGCCTTGAGGGAATCCAGAAAGCACTTCCACTGCCCACCTGTGGCTGGCCTGAAGTTTCGAAGCTGGGAGCAGAGCACCTGCTTGGGGACTGTTGTGTCAGTCATGTAGTCAATGTGCCCAACCCATCGGGGGTGTTCAGTGCCTCGATGCTGGGGTGATGGCCTGGCCGGGGACACTGATGTTGGTGCATTTTTCTTTCCAGCAGGTTTGCAGGATGTAGCTATCTATGTGACTGTACTTGCTGCCCACACTGTGGTCTCCTTTACTTTGGCAAGATCAAACAGACTGGGTGACCACTTTGCAAAATTTTTCTGCTCTGTCCTGACCTCCCATTTCAATAAACTACCTTACTCTAATGCTAATGTTTCTGTGCTGGGCTTGCTACAATGTTCAAACTAAGCAGAACACAAACTGGAGGAATAACACCTCAATTTCCATGTGGGTACTTACAGCCTCAGCTTCAGAGCTGATCCCATAGTGTCTGTCCTTCCTTTTCCTTACATTCTCTCTCTCTGTTCACCACCAACCCCATCCACCCAAGCTGCTCCTCAACAAGCTTGTATGTCTCTTTTACTTTCCTCTTGGCAATGAGAACACA